GCTAGAACCCTCCAATTCTCTATAACTTTTGATTTAGTGTCGAAAGACATACTACGACAAATTTTACGAAAACCTTACTAGAAGTTCAAATACTCAAGATCAGATATAGATTTAATTCAATCGAGGCGTTATTTCAATTTATATAAATTCACGAGAATTATTTAAATCTTTATTTATATATTTTAAAATTTTTATCCAAATTCCGGTTATTAAATAAAATATCTTTCATATATAAATATATCGACCTATAGATATATATACGTATATATATATAATTAAATATTAAGTATTTAAAGATACGCATAAAAATATTTACCTATATATATATAAAATTAGATCGACTAAAAAAATTGAAAATATTCATATATATAGCATTATAGATATATAAATAAATGAAAATTATATAGCAAAAAAATACTTGATTGAAACTAAAATAAGTAGAAATATATATTTAATAAAATCAATATCATCCATATTTAAATATATATAAAAATATGAATATCGATAAAGAAATTAAGATTCAACCTTATTTATATATATATATGAATATGAAAATATATCTAAATAGATATTGATAAATATATGAATATAAGAAGATATATATTCTTTATTTTGGGAAAATATATTCTATAACAGCAAATACAATACGTATGTCCTTATATGTACTCTTCAAATTACATATACAAATACAAATGAACACGCGAAAAGCAACTTGCCGTGTGCGAAAAGGTCGGTGTGGCCGATGATTTCTGCGTCTTGATAGGGGGCGGCTCCCTGTTTAATTGACTTTTGAGAGTTTTGCGAGGTTTCGAGAAGCCACTATACCACCATTCCAAACGGACACAGAAACGAAAGACTAGCTCCGCTAGCCTTCGTGATAATTCCAAGCTCTAGAGAATGAGGATTTCAAACCCTCAGCTTAAAGACGTACAATTTCAACACCAAGACTTGGAAGAGACTTCTACGAAAGTCTTACATAGGTTCATCTTGTCCCGCACTTAAGGAAGTGAAAGAGCGATTCGTTCATCCCAGAAATACAAGTTGTCAATGGCCGTACCTTAGAAACCTATACTAAATCCGAAACTTATGATACCAGACCAAGCCCTGAGCCCTTGACTAAACCCTGCGCCCATAGCCCTAAAGGGCTACCCTCAATCATGCACGCTTTGTTTCACAACGGAGTCCGAGCGGACAGAAAACCGTGCCGAATGCACAATGTAAGTCTGAGCGGACTACCATTGCGCAGGTCTGCGTGCGCCCTCAGTCGAAGGACCAAGACGCATCCGAAGCCTTGATCTCGACTTCACCAAGCGGCACAACCTCAAGCACATCGATCCCGGGCTGCGGCCTAAAGCTTTTAATTACATACCAACACAGGTTTGCGGATAGATGCGATACATGGAATGGAGAGATACAATGACGCTAGGGGCGCCTTTGACTTCCACGTGCTGACACCGCATCTCTCCATCCTTAACCCAAAAACCATGGCTCTTCGTAGCTTTCTGCCTAGTCAACTAAAGCCTGAAAGCAGGCCAAACTCTAAACCTCGCAAGTTGAACTGCGGCATGAACCCTCAAACCGATGAAGCTCGGCGCTCACACCGACTTTCAGCCCACCTTGAAACGCTGGAGCCACCAACCATGATGATAATCCTGCAGAGTGGAAAATGCAGGGCAAGGTGTTTCGAGATTTGAGGTTTAGGAGTGTGGGGCATAGTGTTGCGGCTCAAAACTCCGGTAAGGTCCTGGGCGTTCGCCGCATGCCCCTGCATGGTGTGAGCAGTCATCGTGACAAAGCCTCAAAGGCGGTCTACTTGGAGGATCTTAGGGTTCCTTGTAGGGTCCCTTTAAATGAGGGTTCGATAAGGATCTATACGGGTTTAGGATCTATTTGGAGGATCATGGGACTTAGTTAGGTTTAGGGCTCCTTTTTATTAGGGGTACTATAGGGTTCTATAAATAAGGTTCCTTAAAAGGATCTATAGGGGTTCTATAATGGGGATCATGGGACTTAGTAAGTAAGGTTATAAGCACCTTAATTGGGGTTATAAGTATAGTTACCGGGTAGTAAGCCTTCAGAGTTCGGTGTAGGGTTTAAGGGATACAAGCTACCATACACAACTTTCTTGTGAATGCAAACCTAGTAGAAAGTTTTTCGAGCCACTACAACAAAGTAGGTGTTGATTTTTGAAGGTAGGAGTCAAACCTCAAACTAGCATGCCAAACTTGTGAACACAAAAAAAACCCTCAACCACCTGGAAACCCTGAGCCGTAATTGAGCGGCCTACATCTCAGACACCTCAATCCCAAGTATCTCTTGCAAACCCAACACCCGAGAATGCGTTTAAAACAAAAACACACGTCTCCCACGCAAAGCTCACGATATCAACACCCAAATAAACCCTCCACAGACCTCAGCTTTCAACTTCAACACCTCAAGACCCCAGATCCCAGTTGAAAACCTTTAAACACACCACGTAAAAGAGTACGGAACTGTTGTGAGGGTGGTTGTGCAGCGCAATCTCGAGATGTCCCCCAGGCACCACAGCGAAGCGCTCCCAGTCCCAATTCCTCATGAGGCAGGTGCTTTTCGGCTTCTTCTTCTCTGTCAAAAGTTCTCATTAGCACAAGGGGCTGAGGGTTTGCGGGCTTCTTAGGGTTCAGAGTGGTTGTGGCTTTAAGGGTGTCGGGTTTGAGGGTTCAGGGGATTACGATCGAGGGTTGAGGACTTTTGAGAGTCTAGAGCTGAAGGTTCATTGTGGATGGCGTGTTTCGGTTTCCTCTATGGAATTCTTCACGGCAGAGTTGAAGGTGAAGGCCTGCAAGGCTCCGAGGCCTTAGGACACCTAGACTTCATACATCCGTAAACCCTGAAGCCTGGCCCTAAGATCCTACACTCTATATATATATATATATATATATGTGTATGTTTATATTTATTATATAAGGAGTGTCCTTTCTCGTTATTCTGAGTGCCGCTGGGACTCGCCGGAAGGGCATTGGCAGCCATTGGTTGGCTCGTCCCCAGCGTGGTGCCGCCGCGCATGGACACGAATCGGTTGTGGATGGCGTTATGCCTTGAGAACACCCAAATCTATGAACAAGAGAAGATACCACAAGCACTTTTCTGGGATCCTTAGTTTAAATTCAGAAACCACTGAAGGTTTTCGAGGTGCAGGGCAATGAGGCCGTTCCCACCGTCAACCACGGTGAATTGCTCCCAAGTCCAGCCCCAAGGGTAGCCGGCCTTATTGGCCAAGTGTGGTGGATGCTCGACACTGGGGTCCATGAAATCGCCGTGCATGCGGATGAACTTCTTCCAGTGGGTGTTGTAGAGGGCCACCACCATGCCAGGCTTGATGCCACCGTAGGGACCCGTCGGGACAATCTGGAATCGCTCGTAAGCCCAGCCAGCAGGAAACTTGCTCGAAACTTGTGGGCTTGCATCCATGACGGTGTTGTGTAGCCTCAAGAAGCGACCCTCGGCTTTGTTGTACAGCGCGATGGTGTTGTCCCCAGAGGTGACCTGGTCCAGTACAGGGGGATGCTGCTGTTTCGACTGCATAGGCCCTTCCAGCTGGGGACCCTTCCTTTTCGAAAATCTCCGCCTCCATGAAGCGTGCCTTGGCCCAGCCCCCGTAGTGGTGGGCCGGCGCGGGGAGGGTGGCGATGCACGTTTCTCCTCTTACTGGTGCTTAAGCGGGAGTGGGACGATGGATGCCCCTGAACAGTCCCTGTATAATCCCTCGCAAAAGCCCCTACCCGTTGAGCACCAGGAGGTCCTTCCATCCACACAAAGCGATTGAACCGGGGACTGTGGAAGGCAACCTCGCCGTTCCCGGCGTCCACCACGGTGAAAAGCTCCCATTCCCATCCCGCTGGAAAATCAAGACCCTGGGGATGGCTCGTGTCCATATGCGCATGGTCGTTCATCCTTACCGGTGACAGTGCAGCACGAAACGTTCAAGTAGAGCTTAAAGGCTGCCGTATCAAAAGGGCTTATTTCCTTCTTCCGGTGCGGCTCAGGGGTAGTTACGGGTAGTTGGCTTCTTCCGAAAAAGTTGGTAAAACCTCCGCCCCATCGGCTGTTGTTTGTTTTGGAGGGGAATGGGAGGGCTTCAGGCTTCAGGGTCAACGGATTTAATCTAGGCGGTTTAGGGTTGAGGTCGTGTTCCGGATCCCAAGCTGCCTCATGTAGCGACCCCAGTGGGGATTGCGCAAGCCGATGGTGGTGCCGGGGATCAGCTTCGGAACCTTCCCATGCAAGGTTCATGAACCATAAACCCTGCAGATTTAAGGGTTGAGTAGCTGGTAGTCAGCTTCCCGACCTGCGCCTTGACCTTCTTCACATCCTTGCTGGAGAAGTCCTTCACTGCAGCGCTCTCCACATGCTCTTAGGCATCTCTTACTGCTCGTTCATCAAGCCAACCCACCCACCGCGAAAAAAAAACACATTCAAAGCACTTAAACCCTAGAGCCTCTAAAGGCAATCTAGAAACCTCCAAAAGCTCTTTCAAAGGGCTACAACAAACAACTCGTCATAGCCGCTAACACGACTGGAAACCCTTAACAGAACAACGCCAACACACCTTAAAATTCATCCCCTTCCCTCTCTTGCTGGTCCTTCAGCGATGCGATCGCCTTGGCCCGGCTCTCCACGGACACGAGCCCGGGGGGCAGTGCGGCAAGGATGAGCGCGAACTGGTCCGCCAAGTTCAGCCTTGGGCTTGGCTTCATTTCGGTATAATCCAGGTGCGGGGGTGGTCTGCTTTCTCAAGTGGAGAGAGAGAGCCCTAAGCCTTGGGCAGAGCCCTCTAGACTCCAACCCCTTGAACCTCTAGGCTTTCCAAGGGCTTCGGATCACCACTTTCGCAATCATGGAAGAAGGGTTTAGGGAGTTTCGGTAGCAGGGCATGTGCTGGTTAAAGAATTTAGGGTTTGGAGGTTGGGGTTTAGGAGTTCAACTTTTGGGGTCTAGACTCTAACAATTTAGGGGTGTAAGGGTTTAGGGTTACCCAATGGTTCATGTGAGCTGAGTGGCAGAGGGATCTTCATGTGCGGGCTCTCGTAGGGCCCGAAGGCCATCTGGATCCCGAGTTGGAGCCAATTCCCATGCAGGAGGCCCTGAACCTCACAGACAGGCAGAATGGGGGAAGATCTGCACACTCTTTCTTGGCTTATTAAGATGTAGGGTCAACGTCTGAACCCTTAAAACCCGTCTTCCTTCGCAGTTTTCGCTGGCATTGTTTCAAGCTTTCGCCGGCAATATTTGCTTTGGGGGCGTTGGGAATGTAGCGGGCATGGGTCCACATAGGCCTTCGTGGTGTGCTGGAACTACAAACTTGGTGGGCGCAGCTCCAAGCGTTGGCGTATTGCTCACACCTTCTTGGCCATCGGTCCAAGCTTCGAGGGCCGGCACTCAACACCTCTGCCTAACTCATCCTGCGCCCGAAGAGCCCTTAGCCTTCTAAACCCTGAACGCCCGAAACCCCTCAGACCCTTTTCCAGCAAATTCGCTCTGCCTCGAAGTTGATCATCCCAGGGTTCTTGAAGCTGAAAAGCTTGAAGGTCTCATCGACTTCCTGCTTCTCTTCGGCTTCCTCCTCCTCTTCGGCTTCCTCCTTCTTCTCTTTCTGGGAAAGAAGCGCCTGAACGCAAAGGTTAGTGTTTTGAAGGGTTGGTGGTTCAAGGCTTTTTCGGGTCTCGGGTTTGAGGCTTGGGGGTTTCGCGCCAAGCTTTAATAGGTTTAGGATTCAGACGGGACTGTCCTGGGATTTCGAGCTTCTTCACAGGCAGCAGAAGGAGAATTACAGAAAGCTCCACTATGTTGGACAGAAGTGGGCCTTGCTCCTAGCGGCCAAGCAGGCCCAGCAGCTGTGCAAAATCCCTCGGCCGGGAAACCCTGCCTGACAACCCCGGACACGACCTTACAGCTTGAGACCTTGAAGACCTGAAACAACCCTTCAAGAACGCACCGAAAACAAAACCTAAATCCGAAACTCAAACACCAACCCCTCTCCCTCCCCACACACGAAGCCCCCGTAAGACTATGATAGAACTCTCCAAGGAAGCAGATTCTAAGGCCCCTCTCATATACCCACGAACCCTACTCCAAAAATTCATGCCCGCTATCTTAACAAACAAGGACATCCCTGATCCAAACGTCGGGCCTCGAGCTGTTCCTGGGCCGCGTGGCCCCCGAGCTCGGAAGTGATGTTCACGCCCAAATCCTCTTCAGCGGAGCGGAGCGGGGCAAAAGGCGGAAATTCGCTCTAAACACCCTAAACCTTTTTAGGGCTCCAGGGTATCAAGGTTTAGGGGGCGCTTCCTTGGGGTACGTAGGGTTTTTGCCGTACCTGGGGCTTTTGTCACAACGGGTATCCTTCCCGTACTCGATGGATGCGAAGTAGAGGTCATCCTGCCTGGAAAGTCCCAGCTGTGGGCTTAACTGGGCTCACGGGGCTTGGGCTTGTACCGTTCTTGTTATTCTCAGTGTTCTCACCATAGCATTATATTATGATTCCTGCTATAGTTGTTTGCGCTTATCACCTTTATGACGCCGTTTGTTAGCGTAAAATATCACGCCTGAAAGGTTTTAGAAGCTCTTGCTGGAGCCTGGAGGCGAAGGTGGAGGTCTAGAGATCTCACAGTTGCAACCCCTTAAATCCTAAACCGAAAAGGCCCGAACTGCTGACTTTTCTAGGATTCAAATGCGGAAGTCATGAAACTCCGAGTTGCGTCTGCCAGACAGCTTCCTCCAGCTCCTCCTTGGCTTTCGCGCTCTGGTTAGCCTGGAGGAAGCTCGAACGCTGCATGGAGGCGATGCCCGTTCCGCTCTCATCCGGTGCGGCGTTGACGCCGAAGAAGCTTTTCGAGGTCTGGTGGCCTTTGTTGATGTTGCCTTCTCAGGGAGCCCTCCCCAAAGAGGGCGGGGGTGCTTTGAAGTTGAATGCGGGAATAAGCAAATGCAAGTGACTTTTATTTCAACTCCCGCAAACCTCGTCACCTGAAAGCCGCTGCACTCTCATCCAACATATTCCCAAACCCTTTTACTCAGACCCCTCGCTCGGCCTTCCACAAAGTCCGTGCTGTCACCGAAGCGCTTGGATAGACGCAGCGTGCGGCTGAAGAGCATGACCCCGTTGGACTTGATCACCGTGCGCAAGACGCTGAGGTCAAGCCCATCAGGCTGACCCCGCGGCCAGCAGACCTTGTGGCAACGGTGATCGCGATCAGACCCAACATCTGAAGCATCATCACCATCAGCATGAGCATGAGAATCATGAGCACCATCATTGTTATTCACTATCAGCACCATTCTTCTTCACCCTCCTCTTCCTCCTCCTCCACTTCCTCCCTCATGCTGATGATGATGATGGTGATCATCATATCACCATCACTACAACCACGCGCGCCAGTGTCATCGTCAGCATGGTCAGTGTCGTCGCCATGCCACGAACTTGTTAGCGGCTGGCCACAGGCTCGGGTTTGCAGCTTACAGGTGATGCCACGGCTCAGCAGGCATCAATCACGCACGCTGTGACTGGTACTACCGTTGTTGCTGTTGTGATTGTCGTCTTTGTCCGCGACACTGGCGTGGTCCGTTCAATCTTAAACTGGCATTGTCTTTGCACTTGGCCTTAAGACGGCTACTGTCACCTTTGCCAACGTCGCCATCACCAATATGACCCGACTCCTCCATTTCCTACTCCTCAATCTCATCTTCTTTCCCTTTTGTTCGCTGAAAGCTCCGGGTGCCCAGGCCATGCTTACATGCTCTTTTTATTGAGTGCCCAATAAGCTTGCTGATTGGTGCGGGGGAGGGAGAGCAAGTTTGTGGTGTAGGACTTTGGCAGGTTTAAAGTTCAGAGCTGGCGGAGAGTCTGAGATGTCCATGTTGGCGCACAACTGCAGATCCAAAAATGCAAGGCACCGTAGCCACGTCGAACCTAGAGGAGCTCTAAAACGGAAGCTTGTCTCCAGCCCACGCTGCTTCCCGCCTGCCCCCACTGTCGTGTCACGCAAGGCAAGGCAATGCTGACACGTGATTTGGGAAGCACTGGTGGTCCTGTTCCCGCATGACAAGGGAAGAGGAGCAAGAACAAAAGCAGCAACAGGAATGAATAGCGATGGACCGTAACAGCAGCAGAATTTAATGCCAACATCCAACATAGAGAACAGCCGAAGCTCATCCCCGTCGGTCCGCATGCGTGTTTCTAAAGGCATGCAGCAGTCCAGGCACAACATCCCGCGAACGGTAAGGGGCACTGCAGGCTGAAAGAAGCTCACGAAACTGGTTGTCACTCCCCCTGTGAGCTCCGGACCGTGGTGTCAACTTCTGCCAGGGGCCCAGGCAGCAAGTCGAACTGGATGCCACCCACGAAGGCGACCACCGGCTGCATGTTCACTTGAAACTTTACGGTCAAGCACTTCTCGATACTCAAGTCCGTTGTGTACATGGAATAGCCTGCACGGAGGCGGTCTCTAAGGGTTCTCGCATATTTCTGACTATAGTATGTATTTTCCACATACGCGCGCGCACACACACATAAAGAGAGAGAGAGAGAGAGAGATACGTACACATAGAAAAAATACATACATACCTATGTGCACATGTACATGTACTTATGTTTACACCTCCCTCTCTCTGTACATTTCTATCCTGGAGAAGACTTCGCCTTGCCACTTGTCCCACTTCGTCTTCATCCACTGGTTCCCGCAGGGAACCGCCCAGGGCTTCAGCTCCACAAAATCGTCCTCGCTCTTCGCCTGCCAACCCCCAACGGTTCGTTTTGTTTTTTTTTTAAAGGGACTATTGCACTTTAAACGGTTTGGGCTTAGTTGTTGGGGGTAACCGTTAACCTTCAACGCCTAAAGCTCCTAAACCCTTTTGAGCACGAAAGTGTATCAACCGTATAAGCCTTACACATGCCGGCAAACCCAATGCCATTCTAAACCCGATACATCCCGCAGACTACAAGCCCAAGAAACCCTATAAACCCGATAGCTCAACAAGACCCCAGAAAGAGCGACCCTCGCATCCTTGTGAAGCCTGAGCGCTCCCAAGCCCCGCCTTCCAATCCGCCTCGGTCGCTTGGTTGTTGCTTCCTGTCCTGGGTTCTTGATAAGGAGCTTAATTTAAGTGGCCATACAAGGGATCAATTGTATAGAGTATGGCTTCCTTGTTATTAACTTAAATTAAACTCCTCAACAAGAGCGCAGCGTCATGTTCTTCGGTGCAAAGGCCAAGCAGGAGCCGGTGGAGGTCTCCCTGCCCGCGAACCTGCTTTTGGGCTTTTGAGTAAGTGCTTTTGGGGTGTTAGGACGCTTGGTGGTTTTTGGGGTGTTTGGGGCTCCATGGGTGAATTAGGCTTGCTTTCCTGTGTGCCTTAGGGTTTGAAGGGTCGAAAAGGCTTGCAGTGTTCATAGGGTCTTAGGGTTTTAAAGGGTTTCAGGGTTTGCAGCTTTATGCGGCTTTGAGGTTCTAGAGGGTTGTTAGGGAATAATAGGGTTCTGAAGTTCAGCCTTTTTGGTCTGTCTAATCTAACCCAAGAGATCTACAGCGTAAACTCCGAAATTACCACCCTCTCGGTGTGGTTTCTCCGTTTCCCCTATACCCTCACCCCCGAACCCTCGGGCCTCGACTCCAATGCCAACCCGTAAACCCCAAGCCTTTACAAGCCCTGCGCAAGCCCCTAAGACGAGGCTCTGTGTGACGAGCGTGTGGGCTTCGGGCCCATAATCTTCGAAGCTCCATTTCACGGCTGCCGGCGGGTCGTCGCCCTTGACCTTTGAAAGGGGCTCATAGGCTGCAATTCAAAATATTCTTCAGGTCTAGAGGATGTACTAAAGGTTTAAAGTTTCGGGTTCCATCTAGGCAGAAAAATATCTAAGGTTCAGGGGTTGAGGGCACCGGAAAGCCAAAGATTTCCGAAACCAAAAGGCGGGCTTCGGGCTCTGGGGCTTGGGTTCCGAGTTTAGGCTTTATGGAAGCCAGATCCCCCTATATCTCATTAGACGATGTCGCATTGTACTATATCAAATTTGGTATCTAGCATATCGTAGCCTGCTTTTTGCTTAATTTGTTGCATTCAATCATGCAAATATAGTCTTGAATGCAACATATTCGTATATCATAATACAATAAACTATATTGAAGCATGTTGTATTACATCGTATTACACGATAATACTATATAATGCTGTACTGTGTTTTGATCTATTGAATTCTGTATCATATTTACATCAAACTGCATTGTATGAAATGATTTCGCAGTACATACCACAGTACAATACACTAAACGATGCTTTGTACTATACTTCAGTATCTATCAGGAAATTGTCCTCTACCACTTAGGATTACGTCAGGTTCCAGTATATTCTACGTTGCATTATGCAGTCTTGTATTGCCCGTATATGGTATGACAACATACTTTGTTATAGTATATCATGCTCATCCCATAACACACTTGCTACATAATGTTGTATTGTACTCTATTGTGTCATGTTAGGGTATCGTACAGTGCAGAACTTTTTTACTTTCCCGCCATAACACAGTACCCTCATGCTGTTGAGTTACGTTGCTTCTGAATATACTCTACTCTAAAATCAAGAGCAGATCCCAGAGCGGCCCTCTGCAAGAAGCTGCTTGGCCCTGCCGGGGCATGCTGCGAATGCGCGGTGATGAGGAGATTTGCACCTTGGGATTCGATCTTGGGGTTGCGAGAGAGTCGGGGGTTTTGGAGCTCTCAGGCTCTAAACCCTAAATGGCCCTAAGCTCTGGTTTAAGTTGATGATTGTAGGATGAGGAGCTCAGCCCCTTATACTGGGAATCCCAAAAAAACCCTGATTCAGGGAGCCTTCATTTCCACGTCGTGGGCTCCAGTCCGAGCTGTATGAGCTGGAGTCAAACTTTTTGTTCATGCATGTCATGGTCTGGGAACGGAGCACCCTGTTTTCCAGTGCTTGCAGGGTATCGTTGTAGCCTCTTATCTGGCAGAAGCCATGTCGTAGGCTTTGCATCTGATGGGTGAATAGGCTGGCTGCGCGTATGCTCAGGTTGTTGAACGCGCCCCCACTGTTACCTCTCACACCAAGGCATGGTATCGGAGACACAGACAAGGAGCCGAAAGAGCGCCTCGTAATGCTATTCTGACTACAACATCGGCATCTCTTTTGAAAGAGCAATCCAAGCCCCCCCGAAGAGTGTCGAGATTCTCGAGCCAGAAACCGTACCCCCTAAACCCCCAATACCCGAAATTTGCCAATATGACGGCTTGAGAAATGAAATAAATAAATGTCTACTGCTACCACTACTACTACTACTACTACTACTACTAGTAATTATCTCTATTTTGGAGTAACAATACTATTCTATGACTATTACTACCACTGTTACTATTATATGGCCCGGCCTCTGTGGTGGACCTGCGGCGGGGCGCCGGCGGCCGGAAACTCTGAGGCAGCCGCGATCTGCAGCAGCGACTGGCCTTCCTTCAGTTCAGGATTGGGGGCCTTCGGGTTTAAGGGGTTCCGCTAAGGGAAGGGCTTTATTGAGGGTTGCAGGGTTTAGGATGTTAGGTTTAAGATTGTAAGGTCTTGGCACATAGGGGGTTGGGTGGCTTCGAGACGTGTTGGTGTCGGGACCGGGTCTCTGTTTGGTGAACAGAAGGATCCTAGCAATCTCGGATATCAGCGGAGGATGCCGGCGCTGCGCGAAATCCGCACAGGAACCCATCAAGCATCCTCCACCGGAATCTACCCGAATTTCCCAGCCCGAACACCTCACGGTGTCGAGAACAGATTTGAAAACGGCATGAGATGGGGGCCTTCATCGCCGATGTGGCCACCGTGCTGGCCACCTGTCTTTGACGAAACACCAAAATCTTTAGGGTCCACAAACCCATAAAGCTTTGGAGTCCTAAACCCATGAACCCGAAGCCCCAGAATGCTTATGTAACCACCCTAAGTCCCCGGCAACGAGCCCGAAGCCCTTGAACTCCCAGCTTTTTGTGAACTCGAAGGGGCAAACGGAGTTTCGGGCTTATATTGGACTTTCGGGGGGTTTAGGGTTTAGGGCTTTAGGCTTCATGTAGCTTTGGGCCAGTGTAAGTGCTTCAGAGCTGCAGTGCTGTCCCTCCATTGAGGAGGAAGCCCTAAAGCCAGGACCACTACACACCAAGATCCCAAACCGCAAACGTTGTAAACCACAAACCGCAGAACCCTTCAACTCGAAACAACTCGGCGCTGAGCCCTCAAGCTTAATTACTAAACGCTATGCCGACCGCAATCCCTTGCGAAAACGGGGCTGGCTGCTGTTGCAACATGTCGCCTTGGCAAAGACCTCGATGAACTCCTCGGTCGGGTTGGGTTTTCGGTTGGCAAAATCCTTTCCGCTGAATCCCGAGCCGTACACGCTACACCTGAGCTCCAGCCAAGATTCCGTGAAAATGTCGCCGAGGCGGTTCAGGAAGTTCAGCGGAGGCACGCTGGCGATGATCTTGGAGCCAAGGCACTTGATCAGGTCGCCATGGGAGTTGGGCTGCGCGCACTCGATGATCGTGCTGAGCTTGCCGCCTTCAGGGCTCATTGGGTTTGATGTTCTACGGCGTTATTACGGTTCTAAAGCTTTTTCTGAACTGCCCGCCTGCAAGGACCTGCACCGGTTCAGGCAAGAAGGACAAGGGGAGGTCGCCACCTGCAAGGGCCTTCATCGGCTCAGGCAAGAAGTCCAGAGGGGGAGCATACTTGGCAAGCGACCGCGCAAGACACTTCGTCACTTCAATGTGATTGTGGTTCGCGCCGCAATTGTGGATGACCTCGAAACCGATGTGATGCAGAACCTTGAAATGGTCGGGCAGGAAGTCGAACGGGGGGGCATACTTGGCAAGCGACCGCGCAAGACACTTGGTCACCTCAATATGGTTGTGGTGTCCTGGGCAATGATGCACAACTTCCCATCCGATGTGGCCAAGTATTCCAAACCACGAAGGGAAGAGCTCAGCAATCCTGCCATCAGTCACTTTCCTCACTTGCTCGGGCAGGAGGTCGAGCACGGGAGTGTGATAGGCAAGGAACCGTGCCAGGCACTGTTCCACCACCACGTGGTTGACGGGATTGTGGCAGTGAGTTACTAGGTCCCATCCAATGTGGCCAAGTATTGCAAAATGCGAAGGGAAAAGCTCATGAATCCTGCCATCCGTGACTTTTCTCACTTGCTCTGGCAACATATCCAGTACGGGTATGTTTACTGACCTCCTGCCCCAGTTGAAGTTGAAAAGAGTGATGGTCTTGACACCGAGGGAGATCGAGCAGTGTTGGTGTCCGAAATGGATGTCCAACCGGGAGCCGTGCATGCCAAGCCACGGAGGATGGTTGGTGCAACTCGCGCCGAAGTTGCCTCAGGCTCGCGAGGATCAGAAGCGACACCCCGAAGCTCCTGAAACCTCGCGCCACGACGCTGTGCCTTATAAGCCCTGGGCCCTAAGCCCCCCCCGCCTCCCCCCGCGATGATAGCCGCGGCCATCTCCACGGTCGTAATTGCGGTGTTCGCCAAGAACTTGGCCCCATTCCCCGCCGCCTTGGCGGTCTCGTAGGCCTTGGTCAAGGCGCCCCCGGTGAGCCCGGTGCCGTCCAACCTACAGGGCACAGGGCTTTCGACTGCACGCACAATCAGTGGAATCAACGTTTCAAAGTTTCGGGTCTTTGTCCTTTCGGCGGACTGAGCTGGTGTGCGCAGGCTTTTCTACATAGTCCAAAGGATTACCTCAGCCCAAGCCCCAACCCTTTCTTGGAAGTCTCGCCTCTTGACGGCATCATCGATCTGCTTGTCGACTTCGTTGACAACTCTGCCCCCTGTATTGTCCCAGCCGCTCTTGACCGCTTTTCCAACCGGACCCCATGCGCTGCGGCGGTGCTTCTGGCGCTTTTGCAGCAAGGCTCTCCGGCTCTCGACCGCCGTCTCCTCCTGGGCGGCCGTCTCGTCCTCCTGCACTGCAGGCTCCTCCTCGTGAGCTTCGGGATGGTACTCCCTGTGCTCCCTCTGGCGTGCGTGCTTGTGGAGCACCCTCGTCAAGGTGTCATGGGCTTCTTGCACACTCTCCTCGGAGCTCTTTTGCACCATTGAGACTTCCGCTTCATCAAAGTCCATTTTCTTTTGCATCTTATCGATGAGAACTCGCTGCATTCCGAGCTCCGTCTGTTGCAACTCCGCGAGGGTTTCAAGCTGCGCGACCTTGAACATCAAGAACTCCAGGCTTTTGCCCAGCTCGCCCATGCCCCCACCCTTCTCGCCCTTCTCCTTCGGATCAGGCATGGCGTCGAAGTCCTCTCAAGTTGAAGCATTTAGGTTGGGCGGGTGGTGCAGGGCTGCAAGGTGTCAGGGCCCGGAGAGGAAAGGGCAGTCCTCCATTTCTCCGACCACGGTCTGAGAAATAACTTCGCTGATGATCTTTTCCCCTTCCGAGGTATTGCCAGCGTCGCCAGTCGCATTGAGAGGGATGCTGGAAAGCTTGAAAGATCCGACCTGCGAACTCTGGCCTTTTTCACACATCACACATTGTGGGACTGGAAGCCGAACGTAAAGACTCCAAAACTCTGCAGCCTTGCAGCCAAGGGGCATTGGTACCTTCGGTGGTTTCGATCTTCTGGCTCATGTCCTTCATGTCCGCCTGCAAGTTCTTGGACACCACTTCCTCAACGATCTGGTTCGAGGTTTCGCTGTGTGAGTTGGCTCCGGAGAGTTTGAAGGCCAGCGAAGTGGTCCAACAAACGGCCAGCATCAACATCTTGATGCGCATCTTTTGCTTCATTAAAAGCACCGCCAACAACCGAGCGCCCTGGAAAGGCGCTCCGGAAGCTGGGATGGTGAGATACGGAGTTGCTTGAGCAGATAGGCTACCGAATGAAAGCGTCAGTGAAGGGTTCATCAACCCATTGCGCCTGCCAAAACAGCCTTAGGCACACACCTAGCCTCTCAGGACTACAAGCTAGCAGTGATGGCTGTTAACGCATACATCGCTTCGGACATTAAATGTTGCCACACTGCGCCGCTGCAAAGGTCAACCCTTTGTTTCCTTTTCAATACGTGCGACGTTTGGGATGCATTTTGCATGCCTCTCGTCCGTTCGTTTACAGCACTGCTCGCCGTACCAGCGAGCAGTGCACGTTGAAACTAGAACTGGACCCGGAACAAGAAGCCCCAGAACCCTAAAGTAAATCCGTTCAAGACAATCCTAAACCCTAAGCTAAATCCGGAACAAATCCTCGCTGACCTCCCCGGGAACAGCTCGGAGCGATTCCTTCGTCCGAGTCTTCGACTGCAGGCGGACGGAAATCTGCTTGGCGCGAAGCTCCAGATCGTCCTTCGCTTACCAGAGAAAGGGGCTGAGGTCCTTTAAGGGGTCCCTTGGAAGGGTTCCTTTTTTGTCCTTTAAGGGGTTACTATTGACAATGGCTCCTTTAAGAAGGGCTCCTTTAAAGAGTACCTTTTAAGGGTGCTCTAGGGCCCTTAACCCTTCCTTCGAACCGCACTTCTTTGGAAATGGAGTGCTTTTAAACGGTCTCTATAAGGAGAAATCACTTTCGGGGTTGCTTTGAAGGGCTCTCAGGGTGACTATAAGAGTCGTATGAAAAAGGGACCTAATGGCTTAAATTGAGGCTCCATCTAAGCCTAAGTGCCGAAGTATAGGATCTTGATAAATAGCATAAGGTTTTTGTAAGGGTTCCTCTAAGAATACAGGATATAAGGGCCTTATGACATTATTATGAATTTCTTGTTCGTTAAATGACTTTGAAATTGAAAAAGCTTACCATAGGAGTTCTAGGATAGAGAGGTCTGAATAGTTGCCATGGAGTTCCTCTAAGAGTTTGCGAGGTTTTCACAAGGCCCAGTCTAGAATACACCTCAATCATTCGAATGGGGTTCGTTGAACAGGTTCTACAGGGTTTGTAGGAGTTATATAAGAACATTATTGTGTTGGGGCCCTCTTGCTTAAACCAGGGTTTATGGGTATTGTTCACTAAATTTACAACAGTGGAAAACCCTTGCACAGGCCGTATGAGGCCCTCAACACAAAAGCACGACAAGCCTTGATGCCAAGGACAGGCCTTGAGATTCAGTATGCCCAAGCGTCTTGAGAGCTGGAGTAAGACTGCGGCGCCAACACGCTCGCAATCTCCTGGAAGACAACTTGCAGGACAGATGCGTAGGTTGCCAGTTCTGCGTCGGTGAAAGCTCCTTCCACTCCGAGCACCACGCTCTCGTAGGGCTCTGCCGGGACGGCGAAATCAGGCTCTGCCAAGATAGGAAAGATGGAAGGCTGCGGGTAGGGAAGGTTGATGAGCCAAGACGCAACGGCCTCCGATTGGAAGCACCCGGAAGAGCAAACCATAAGTGCTTTCACAGCATGGTCCGGAAAGTCCTGCCCTGATTTCAAGACCACCGGAGACAGCCGAAGTTCCTTGCCCAATTTCAAAAGCTCCAGAAGAATATGCGCTGTTGCAACAGCCTCCTGATTGGCAGGATCCACCAGAATGACGCAGTCTGGCCTTGCTGATCGCCTCTCCAGAGGCAGCACCGTACCCGTCAAGGCATCGCAGATCTTCCCAATACCTCGGCTGGGCGATTCTAAGACCCCTACAGTAGCCCTCCTGCCTGAGAGATTTAAAGAAGCCCTAAACCCTTATAGGAATCCTTATAGATCCCTGTAAACCCTTTGAAGGAACCCCAAACCCTTATACAAGGGCCTGTGAGGGTTCAACGCCAAGGCGACCCAGCTGCTCTCCGTATCCAGGGAATCAGGGAAAGGGAACGAATCCAAAGTCTTCATCCAGTGCAAAGCGCTCGAGACATCATGCAGGGATATGCTGTAAGCTGTCAAAGCCTCAATGCCGGGAATGGCGAATGAGAGATCCTCGTGCGTGGTGGCACTAGGGTCCGTGAAGTTCGGCCATCTGACGACAACACTGTGAACCTGGGATCGCACCACACACAAACCTACACACTGAGTTTGCAAAAGAGGCGCAGCACGTTATCACCTAAGCCGGCTAGGCTATGGGAGCCAAAGCAGCCTTGTGCAGCTTGGCGGTGACGACCTCGCCCACACACCATTTGCGTCCCATGATGCCTTAACTCGCTTAGTTATGCTTGGGCTTCCTGTCAGCAACTCCTGCTCCCACGATGCCAAAAGAAAGACTGCTCAGAAGCCAAAGCTCCTGGGCTGGCCAAGATAACAAGAGTCTGGGTGTCCCGGACGAAGTTGAAGAGTTCCGTGAGATCACGTAAGTTGTCGGTGTCCAAGAAGACATTGAAGCTGGAGCTCCGCTGTTGCAGCCGGATCTTCAGAAGTCGCGCAAAGCTGCCGACTGCACGCTTGTGATGGGAGATGAAGAAGCGCCAGGGCTTCCGATTCTGGCGGACGAGGTACAGGCCGAATCCATAAAGAACAGCGAGGGCAACTGCGACTACCATCATCACCACGAAGAAGAAAGAGATGGCAGTTGCCTGAACCAGGCTGGCGCCCTCAACGTCGTGCCCGGCAAAGAGGGATGCCATGTAGAGCACCACCTGCGATGCAAGCCCTTCTTATAGGATCATGGGACTTAGTAACTGGGGTTATGATTAGGGTAACTATACTTATAACTACTTATAACCCCAAGAAAGGTACTTATAATCCTAGTTACTAAGTCCCATGATCCTTAAGAAGGGCCCTAACATCCCACCTCCAAGCCTCAAACCGTCTCTGGGCTCCTGCCAGTTCTCTACTTGGAGGTTCATGGGTAGTTAGAACTATGGTTATAAGTTTCTGAATTTGAGTTATAAGTATAGTTACCTTGCTTATATCCCCACTTGTAACTACCCATGAACCTCCAAGTAGTTCTCTATCCAATGCTCGTGACACGTGGGCTCTGAAACCTCAAGGCTTGGGCTCTCAGCACTCTGACCACAACGCGGGGCGACATATGCAGCCATGGTACAAGCAAGCCCACGTGGAGCAGTGTGTCCAACACGTTGCTTGCGGGAACTCGCCAGGGTTGGCTCACGGTCATCGCGATTAAGCTCACGTAGAGGAGCATGTTGAGCACTACCAGCTTCACAGCAAGCGAGGGAAGCAACGGGCACAGCACCATCAGTGCGTTTCCTCGCATATTCCGACACGAGTGTTTCTTAACATACAGGAATCATGTTCATGATTCGAAATTCGCCGGGCAGCTCACTTGCATGAAGATGACGAAGCGCTCACCTCCGGGCCGAAAGCGCAGCCAAAGGAATGAGCAAGCCCGACAGTAGGTGGCATCGGCCCGAAGCAGCCTTTTGGGAAGCTCCAAGTGGATGATCCAAATGCACACAGCCAGAAAGGATAGTGGCATCAAGCACGCCACTGCGCCGATCACGCTCATCTGCAGGTGTGCATCGCGCAGGTTGCAGAAGACTGAGGCATACTGTTGGATGGTCCTCGTCTGTAAGCTATGGGGGCCTTAATCATTAGAAAATTAGGTTTTGTGGCCCATTAGATACACCTACAAATAATCAGGAGCCTCCACAATGGCATTGGTAATCATTTAGGCCCCTACTTAAAGGATCATGGCACTTACTAAGTCCCATGATCCTCCAAGTATAGTGAGCTATGTCTGGAGGCTTCGCTTCTGGCCAGGTGTGAAACCTTGCTCAGCTCCTGGCAAGGGCTTCTCTGCTTATCTTCAAAGGGAAAATCTCCCCCAACTCCAAGACCTGATTGGAGGTTCATGCCTAGTTATAAGTAGGGTTCTAAGTCCCCTAAGAGGAGTTATAAGTATACTTACCCTACTTATAGCCCCACTTATAACTACCCATGAACCTCCAAGTAGGCCCTAAACCCTGTACCCTTATAGAATCCCTATAGATCCCTTTAAAGGGACCCTTAAAGGAACCCCTTGCAACTACGCATGAACTTCCAAGCAAGGCCCAAGGCTCATCCGGCCGTTTGGGTGGGAGTTGCACTGGAAGGGCGTCACCAAAGCCGTAAAGATTCCGATGAAGAGCAGCGACACCTGGGTGGTTTTGTGAAGGGGTGTAACTTAAAGTAGAAGCCGAAAAGTAGGAACATCAATCTCCTCATGGCCTCAAGGTAAAGTATAGGGGAGTTACCAATGAAACCCCCCATTATTTGCTATAAGCCCCCTATTGTGGTAACTGAAATCTTGAACCCCAAACCCTTGAAGGAACCCTTATAGATCCCGTAAAGGAACCCTTACAAATCCCTATTATGGTAACTTAAATCAACATTCCTTAACAACTTGGAGGTTCATGGGTAGTTATAAGTAGGGTTCTAAGTACGGCAACTATACTTATAACTCATATTAGGGGACTTATGGCCCTACTTCTAACTACCCATGAACCTCCAAGAAGAGCCCAGCCACCAGCGATCCCACCGTCCGAAGCAGCTGGCCCGCATCCAGCCTCACCTCTGGGCTGCAACAAAAGAACCAAGGGTGCCCCTGAGTTTAGGGACTTCTTGGAAGCAGCATCATACGCTCTTCTCGAGATCTAGACCTATCTGTCTATCTACCTTTCTATTTCTCTCTGTACATCTATGTACTTATGTTCACATGTATATATATACATGCATATATATATATATATATATATACGCCAGTGTATACAGTCCCTCGCTTCCTCAAACTCCCGCCTTTAAGTCCTGCCTCACATACTTTTTGAAAGCCACAGCCAAGAGGTGCAGCACCAGAGCGATGCAGGCAAGTATGGGCGTAACTGACACAGAGAGAACATACTTCAGGACCGGACTGACAGTTGCAAGGCATGAGAATGCAATCATATCCAAATCCACGCCCAAAACCGCTAGGCCCTTCAGAATCTCATTCATGGGCTCGTGCCACTCGATGTCCAGCTTGCTCACGACGAGCAGCTGCTGGATGAGGGTCACAAGCTGGCTTAAAGCCACAATGCCCACGAACAAATGGCCGGGTTGCGTCGCCCGGTCAGCTTGAAGCGCCAGGACGACATAGACCAGAGCGATGCAGAACCTTCTCACACAAAGCGAAGAATTTTCATCCTGACACCCGAACTTCCCGAAATTTCAACCTTCCACCATTCGCTGCCAAGGAACACCAGCGCTAAGACGACCAGGCCGAAAGCAGCGTAGGACGTGGCGACGCAGGGGCCGCAGGACCCGTCTTGAAGGGGCATTCGCCCCGGCAGACATTCGGAGCACCTGGCCGGGAGGATAGAACCCTCACGCAACCCCATATGGGAGTTTCCGAAAATAGGGGACCCTAATATAGTACCCTAAATAGTAGGATCCGACCTCAAAACAAGGTACCCCCTATGTTGGCAAACTCCCATATGAAGCCCTCATCCTTCTGCAACCCCAGTGCCCAAAGCCCGAGACTCATCGTGACGAAGCACAGAAAAACTTAACTGCAGTCCTGAGCACGTAATCGTCCCAGGATCTCGCCCGGATGCACAAGACCCCGGAGGTCCACCCGAACAGCGGGAGGCTCTACCAAAGCATCGGTAAACCATTCCTGAGTGCAGGAATCATGTAGGGGCCTTAAAACTTAGAATAGGGTTTTGGGGCCCATTATTCTATACTGATAAAGGAGAGGCCTTATAAAGAAGCCTAGAAGACACTGTATAGCATCAGTAATTTTACGAGTATTACTACTGTTTCTTTATTGTCATGATTATTCGTATACGTATTTATTGTCGAATATTCTTGCTAATATCTTCATTATTACAACTACAAGCATTATGATTACCACTATGATTTTGATGATGATGATGATGTGTCAAAAAATATGTGAACACTAAACGGCTTGAAAACAATATGGGTGGTTGTCAGAATTATGGTCCCTCTTTGGGTCCCTATTATAGTACGGCACCTATTATTTAGGGTACCCAATATTTTAAGGCTTCCTTTAAAGGGTCGTTTAAGGGTTCCTTTCAGAGATGTCTGCGGGATTTCAAGGTGGGCGCCCTTCTGCCGAACCGCAGCTGAGGGTCCGGGCTCCTGCTGCGAAAAAAGAGAAGTTTCGGCTTTGCAGCTTCGGGCTTTGGGTTTAGGATCTCATACTTGGAGGCTCATGAGCAGTTATAAGCAGGGTTATAAGTCCTCTAATATGAGTCATAAGTATAGTTACCCGCTTTTAACACATCTTATAAATTACCAATGAACCTCCAAGTAGAGGAACGCCTTACTAGTTGGAGTAGGGCTTGCTAGGTGTTCTGTATCTTACTGTAATTATGTTAGGAATCCGAAGGAAGTGTTTTCGTATGGAGACTTCCATGTGATCGCAGTGGGAATGGTAGATGTTACGTAGTAGGCGGGTTGCACCAACAGCTTCTGCAACTTACAGCCCTTATGCCCCGCTTGTTTTCGGAACCTGTGAACGCTGGATTCGCTAACCTAGGGGCCTTATTAATTAGAATAGGGTGTTGGGGCCCATTATACTTTCACCATAATAGGGAGTGCTCCAAGGACAGTATTGGTAACTATTTAGGCCCTTTATTATATCCTTGTAGTAGCCCTTGCAAACCCCGTTAAAGGTACCTCTACCTCTACTTCTACATATTCTTGTAGCCTAAGGAACAGTATAAGCAATTTTGTAGGCCCCTACAGTACATGACCACGACCCCTCCTATCGAGGCAGCAGTCCAAGCAGAAAGGTTGCCAGGCAAAATGAGGGCTTCGATGATTAGAAATAAGGGTGTCTATAGTGAGCAGACTATTTTTGGTTTATAGTCTACCATGCTTTTCAAGCTTTACTAGGATACCCAGTAACCTAAGAATAAAAAGGCCTCTCTTTTTGGTATTGGGTAACTTTATAAGGAACCTAGGACTACAAAAAGGGAATAAGGGTACTACTGGGCATCCTAGCCCCCAATTTTCGGAAACCCTAAACCCTTTATAGAACCCTTATAGATCCCTTTAAGGAGCCCTTATAGATCCCTTTAAAGGTATCCCTAATAAAGGTACTACTGGGCATCCTAGTTCCTGTCCTCTAGACTGGAGGAGAAACCCGGCAGCAGCCAGAGCTGGCTCCCAGCGCACTGGGAGCCACTGATGCACCGCTCGCAAACCCCCTGCTGGTTCAGAAACCTGGGATGGGGAGGATCATGGGACTTAGTAAGTATGGTAATAAGTACCTTAATTGGGGCTATAAGTAGGGACGAAGACTTGACGTTTGTTTTGGTGGTCAGGTGGGTCCAGCCATACCCCCCCCCACTGCTTCAATCACAGCTCGAGGGAGGGCAGTTCCCCCCACCTAGAACCTGTGATGCGGCTGCCATCTGCTTCCTGCTTCGGAAGCCATCATTGCTTTGCTAGTTGCCCCTTTTCGGTGGGAAGAGCAGCCGTGGCTGTTTTGGGTTTGGTGTGTTGAACATGAAAGCATCCTACGTTGAAGCTGGGGATGATGTGCTGGGCCACATAACATGCTGTAGGCTGAAGGTTGTGACAAGCGGCCAACCGGCGACGCAAGTGCAAAACGACCCTGAGGTCACTCCTTTCACTTGAACCCATGTCTCCACACCATCGCTTACGACAAGCTGGCTGGTAGTCCAATGCTCACTGCCGCAGGCATGACAAGAAGTCATTCCGCTCGCATTTGCATACCGACCCAGGTCGCAGTAATCGCAATGGGCTCTGCCAGAGCTATTCGTGAATGTCCCCGAATCGCAGTCCACACAAGCAGTCTGACCAAAGGCACTTTCGAAAGTTCCTGCAGGACACGGCTCACACACGAAGGTTGCACCAGTGCCATCCACGACGGATTTGGAGAAGCTGCCGGGACGACATGTCGAGCAACCGACGGCATCGGAGCGGTTGGTGACATATTCTTTCAAGGAGCTTTGCAGCCCTTCGCCTGGTAGGCATTGCGTGTCTACAGGAATCCACTCCATCCACAGGCGCCTGTTTAGGCGAACCCAATTGCAGGCAGCAGCCCAAGGAGTGGCTCCTTCATGGACCTCCAACAAAAGGCCCAGGATATCTTCCAAATCCATTAAAAACTTCTCCAAGAACCTGGAGACTCGAGGCGCCAGAACAGGGAGGTGACTCGATACGAGCTTCTCAACAATCACTTCCGGAAAGCCAGTCCGGTAGAAGTCAACGGCCCACTCGCGCCGCGAGTGCCGCGGCATCGCCACGATCCATGCGTCCAGATGCAGGAAAGTTGCATCGGGATACCACCAATAGAAAACCTGAGTTGTCCTTGAAACCCTTTGAAAGTGGTTTTTCTATTATGGTTCTCTACAAAGTAGTAGGCGAAATTAAAAAAGATCCCCAAGGACAACCCAGAAACCGTCTCAAAGTTCTCCACCACCGACTCCCAGTGACCTTCTTTGGCGATGCCGATTGCTGTCGGCATGGAAAACCATGTAGACCACTGCATCCACACCTGGCAGTGGAAAGGTCTGTTCAGGATGCGTCAGGCATCGTCACGACAGGGTCTAATACCGAGACCCTTGCAATCAAAATCGGACTTTGGGGCAAAACAGCGTGCAGTGATATGACGGAGCTGTCAAGAGCAATGTAAGCCTTCGCTGCTCTCCCCATACTTGCCCCAGTCTGCAAGATCGGGGATGCGAATCCCGAGAGCTCAAGCGTAAGCATGCTCTTTCGAGCTTTAACCCTGCAGGCTGGATGTTGGGCTTGTTCGGGCTGGCAGCCCAAGCCAAGCCTATCAAAGACCGCCCACAAATGGTCATCCTAGAACTAGCCTCTGCAACCCTAAACCCTCGACCGTCAAGCTCGGATATTGAAACACAACTCTGAAATTGAAAGACAACCCTGAAGCTTCTTTGAAGCTGCTTGCAAGTCCCAGGGGCGTAATAATTCCAGCCAAACCCCGCCGCAATGACGGGAATGCACTCCGAGGTGTTGTGGCGACAAGCCTCGGGGAACCCCGAGGCCTGAACGGTTACTGTAGTGGCCTCAATAATTAGAATATGGGGTTTTGGGGCGCATTCTACCATAATTATAATAAGGAACCCCTAAAATAGTATTGGTAATTATTTAGGCCCCTATATTAGGGTTTAGGGTTCCTGAATGTGCAAAACCAGACGGAGGTATCGGAGCTTATACGTGGACTCTATTCCGGATCTATGGGGGCTTTCTAGGCGGTTGAGTCTGGTTGATACTGCAACGCTTACAGAGGGGCCCTAAGGTAGGCTTTTTGGGGTGAAGGTAGTTACCTATACTGTCTTGAGGGTTCCTTACTGTAACTATAGTATAACATATCCCCCCAATCGGTGGTTGTGGGATGTGGCTGAATTTTGTCACATGGGTGGTTGTCAAGATTCGGGTCCCTTTTTGGGTCCTTATTATAATACGGCACTTATTATTTAGGGTACCCAAAAGGGGAACCATAGTTTTGACAACCACATAAAGCTGGCAGATGCTGAGGTGCTGGAGACCTCCAGAAGTAGTCATCCGGACACTTGGCGATGTAGCCTGGGCTCTGATTACAGGGATTAGGGTTTGTTTGGGGGTTTAGAGCTTGGGACTTAACTTACCATAAATAGAGAAACCTAGCTATTTATTAGGGAAACCCAGCTTTTCAGCATAGATTCCTATTATGGTAAATGAAAGTTAAATCCCTGAACAAGAGCCCAGTAACCAGTTGGAGTTTCGACAACGCCGTCCGTATCTCCTGTCACCTCCGCGTAGGTCCTGATCTGGACATGGCGTGCATGGCTTTGTGTCGTGATCCTTCATCAGTACTTTGAGTAGTCACTTATAACTACCCATGACCCTCCAGGTAAGTCCGTTATGCATTGACCTTCTGCCACGCCTTCCGCCCGAGGGCCCTAGACACCTTCAAAGACCCCAAACCACCCTGAAGCCTTACAAGTGCTTGCGGTGCTTGTTGCCCAAACCTGAAAGCCAAACCTCTAAGCCTCAAACCCTGCACCCCAAACCCCTAATCCCGAAATCCCTAAATCCCCAAACCCCCAAGCCCCTAGATCCCTAAGCCCCTGGATCCCTAAACCTCTTCTGAGTTGTCCTTTAAGTCCTTTGAAAATTATTTACTATTATGGTTCTCTACAGAGTAGTAGGGGAAATTATGAAAGATCCCAAAGGACAACCCCAGCACTATACCCGAAAACCGAAAGCGCAAAACTCGAAAGCCTGAAATCCCCAAACACCCTAAATCCTAAGCCCCTCAAAAGATCCCTAAACCCCTAAACCCCTAAACCTCTAAACCCTAAACCCCTAAACCCCTAAACCCCTAAACCTCTAAACCCTAAACCCCTAAAACCCTAAACCCCTAAACCTCTAAACCCTAAATCCCTAAAACCCTAAACCCTAAACCCCGAAACCTCTGGGCCTCATTTGGTAATCGCTGGTCGACTCGTAGTTACTCGAGTTGCAGGGAACAAACTGAGCAGTGTCCAGGTCGGCGACACGGCTGAAGAACTTTGCCGCCTGATGCCTTAGGTACTTGGAGGATCATGGGTAGTTATAAGTAGGGTTAAAGGGTTCTATAGTATTCTGTAGGGTTTTAATTGGGGTTCTATAAATGGGGATCATGGGACTTAGTAAGTAAGGTTTACGCAGGGCTTCTCCACGGGTACCAAAGGGTGGTTTCAGGGTTCCTACAAACGGTGGGCGAGGAGCTTCCTAGATTATTCTGCTATGAAGTCTGAGGATCAAATTCACCGATGCTGGGGATCAAGAAATGTTGAAAAGCAGGCTTTGCAACGCAACGCCCAAAATGGCAATCGTATAGCCTTCTTCATATTGTGATGCTATCATGTCCCCGTTGCAACCATCATTTTTCACTGCAGCGCACCATTATAATACTCCCTGTACTGTCATGCTACCTGTATATACATATATGTATGTATCTACATACATATATTCCCCTTACAGTCCCTGCAATGTTAAACTGCAATAATTATGATACTGTCGTCTAGCCCAAGATGCTGGGAGGTGTTGTAACTCCTGTAGAAGTCCAAAGCAAGACCACCGGTGTGGTAGGCCTCTTCACGTACCGAGCCTTTCACATACAGGGACTCCTCAGAGTGTCAGAGTGTCAAAGGCTGTTCTTGGGGGTTGAGGCTTTAGGAGTCCGCATGTTTTCAGATTTTGTTTGCAAGGGGTTAGGGTTTAGGGGGTTTAGGGCTAAGGGTTCAAGATTTCAGGTTAGGGCTCAGGGTTTTTTGTCAGGGAGCACAAGGGTTTGAGTTTACTTCCGAAGATAGTCGACTCGCGAATCAGCCTGTTTTCCAACCCCCAGACCACAGATGCCATGACGACAGACCCGTAAAGAATCAACGACCCCTTCTGCTGGTTCAGGCGTACTTCTAAATCTTAAATCAGGATTGCAAAGACCGCGTCGTCAAGGTTCCTCTGAAATTTCCCTTTTTCCTGATTCCCAGGACCCCTTCATTGAGGTATCTGTGATCTTTTCACACCGAAATGGTATCGGTACCTGTTGCGGCCCCTATATAAATTTTTCCAAAAAGAAGGGTCCAGTACCCTGAATAGTAGGATCCTTATTATGAGGACCCCAAAATAAGGTACCCCTAGTTTTTGGAAACTCCCATATTAGCTCTGGCCCTTTCAGCTCCTGGCCAGTCCAGCCCATGGAGCCTAACCTTCGTGGTGCCAGGCTGGGGCGCGTGGTCTCCAAATTCGCAAACTCCCCGGGAGTTCCCCAGAGCCAGCTGTCCTTCAAGGGGTGTTTACAGTGCTGGAAGGTTTCATGGGTAGTTATAAGTAGGGTGATTAGGGTCCCTTTAAAGGGATCTATAGGGATTCCATAAGGGTATATATAGGGTTTTGGGTTCATGGGTAGTTATAAGATGTTATAAGTGGGGTTATAAGTCCCCTAACATGAAGAATTGCCAACTGCCCTACTGCCATGAACCTCCAAGTAGAGGGTTTAGGGTTCTGGGCGTTGGGGCCAAAGGCAGTCTTTGGAGGTTGAGTCGGATTATTTCGAAGCTCTGGGGCTTGGGACGGGGGGGAGCCCTGGCCCCGGGTCCATGGCCACGTGGCTTCGCGGCTGTCTCTCACTGCAGTCTTGCGAAACGCAACCAGCTAGCTGCAACGAGCCCGCGACGGATTCCGTAGCTCGTTCAGTATTGATTGTAACATTGTAGCCCAAGACCTCTGAGAGCAAGATCCCTGTGAGTTCTGAGACCACCTCTGCAGATATCCAATCATACAGGACCATGCGGATCGCAGTCTCGCGAAGTCCCACACTTTCCAAGTCCTCCTCCTGGATGTTTCGCCAGTTACTCCTGTACTGAAGTTGGTGCGCTTGCACAATCATGAACTCTCAGCTGCTTTAGCTGCTTCTTCGGGAGCTTTAATAACCAAAAATTCAACTTGTTTCCAAGTGCCCCGAAGACTCTCTGGAATGCCATCAGGGAGGCAAAGCTCCTTGCCCGCGACCAGATAAAACGCCCAGCTCGTCGCGGTTCGCGCGACAGGTCGCCAGGGAAGTGCACCCATGGCTCGTCGCAGTGCGAGACATAAACGATCCTCTTGGAATTATTCTTTCTGGTGTTCATTGAGCAAGTCTCTAACCTACCAAAACACAATTGTTTTGTAGGTTCTGACTATAAACCCGAAAATAGGATTGTAGGGACCCTGCAAAAACAAGTAAGTTTTGGTAGGTTCAGGTAGTATCTACCCGGCTTAGTGTTCTAACCCCCAAACTTGCACGCAAGCTAAAACACCAGGAGGCCCTAAGACCTGGGAGTGATCATGCAAAAGCCAGGAAACCCGGGTTTCGGATTCAGGGGTTCAGCGGTTTAGAGGTTTCGGGGTTTAGGGGTTCAGAGGTTTAGGGGTTTAGGGGTTGAGAGGTTTAGAGGTTCAGGGGTTTAGGAGTTTCGGGGTCAAAACCCACAGAGCCCACCCTGTTAAGGATTCATATAAGGAAATCGGAATGAGGAGCCCGAAAAAAGGTAGGTTATTCAGGGAGAAGGTGAACTCGACAGCCCCAAACCCGAAAAGTCTCGAACCCTAAACCCGAAACCCTGAACCCCTCAAGCCAAAACCCTAAGCCCTAAACAACCAAACCCAAGCCCCTAAACCCTTAACCGCAAAGCACTAAAAACCGAAACCTCTAAAACCCAAAACCGTCACACCCCTAACACCTAAAAACCCGGAAGCCACCGGACCTTAAAGCCACTTCTCAACATACTGTAGGGGCCTCAGTAATCAGAACAGGTTTGGGGGTCTATGATAATCAGGGAGCCCACAAAGCCCTTGCCAAACTCAGGACCGAATCACCATTTCGGGCTTGTTTCAAGACGTCAGGGCTTCGAATTGATCTCAACAGGGAGGCCCTAAGCTATAAAGGCCGCACGGGCAATCTAGGGGGAATGTAGGGTACATATTGGAGTCGAATAAATAGTAAATTAAGCTCAAACCCAAGAAGCCCCTAAACCCTAAACCCCAAACCGTGGCTCTAAAGCCTAAGCCTCAATAGTCAGCCGCTGGGCCGGAAGTCTGCCCTGCGGGGGTCCCACAACCTGGAATGCTTCTAAGGTCGCTAGGTACCTCGGCCACTCTTTCTTGTTTTAGGGTTTAGGGTTTAGGGTTTATGAGGGTTTAGGGTTTAGGGTTTATGAGGGTTTATGATTATTTTGTCAACACCCTTCGCCCCAGTTTTTCTTCGTTGAGTTGCCGAAAAAGAAAAGCAATACCCAAACTCTTACCTAGTTGGAGCAGCGCGAGAGTCAAGCGCGTGTACTATGGAAGCTTGAATCGAATCCTTAGGGCCCTGCACTACAACTACGGTGTACTCAAAATCCCTGTTCTAATTATCGAGGCCTCTGTATCATAGAAACCTTATAGTAAGCCTCTATCTCAACCCTCCAAGTCTGTTGCTGCAGCAGCTGCTCTGCTTTCCGGAACCAGTTCTGCTGAACGTGAAACACGGCTGTCCGAAACGCCCGGCCATGTGAAGCTGGGCTGTACACTGCTATGCTATGGTGCTCCAAAGGTCCAAAGACGTCAAGCTGGAACTAGATCATTGTTGGGTTAGGATTAAATGTGCATTTTTATTCTTATTGGGTTCAAGTACCCCTAACACTGTAAAATGCTACCCAACTATGACAAAGGGAATGTGCCACATCAAACCACAGTTTCACTGGCAGCAGACAATGTCTGGGCAAGACAACAACAATAATCTAAGACTAACAGTCCACTTGCAGGAAGTTTGTATGCAGTTCAGCGTTGGGCGCAAGACAACCTCCTGGTATCTGTCGGTCAGAGGCATCAACAGGCTGAGATTGGACTGGGTTCCGAGTTGAGTTTCCTCCGCAGCAGAAATAGCGTTAGTAGCAACAGCAGAGGAAGATGAACTGGACTAGCAACGGAAGAGGCGCACCGGGGCTTTTGATGCCGGCCGTGGTAGTGGTAGCAGGGATACCAATAATCGTAACCCCTACCAGCGCCGGTCTAGCAACCCTTATGTGAGTTTCCGAAAACTAGGGGTACCCTATCTTGGGTCCTTATAATGAGGATCTTACTATTTAGGGTATTATATTAGGGTCACCTGTTTTCGGAAACCCCCTTATAGTTCCTCAGAGCACCCGTTTCTTTCAAGCGAAGGATTCCCGTGGCTGCCTGGCAGGTGAAACGGTGCTTAGGCGCCTTGGCCCTTTGGGCGTCACCGGAAAAGCCAGGCTGGGCGAGAAGCGTCTTTGCCCGAGCCATCGCTTCAGGCAAATTTGTTTTGTGATTGGGACAAGTCTTTTGTGGTGGGGTTATACCATGACTATATTTGAGCACACGCAGACACGGCACTAAACGGTCCACGTCTCCTCTTTCTCCGGAGCACTGCGACTCCGAGCCGTCTCCTCGTTCTCAGCGCCCGCTGGGTCCTCGTCGGCCTGATCTCTCCTAGCCCCTGTACTTCGGTGGCAAAGCTGAGCCATCTTTTTCCACCCGTCATGTACCAGCCAGCAAACCACCAAGGATGCGAAGAAAAACGCTAGACTGTGTCCCAAGCTCTGCTGGTAGGACTCGCGACCCAGGTAAAGCCCGCTGGAGATTTGGAGAAGGAGCGCGCAGAAAGCCAAGAGCGACTGCCCATGATCCTTAGCTTCTTAAGTTTTCAGGCCGCTGAGTGTCTTTCCAGTGGAAGGTCCGGGGATACCGGGTTCACTTGTCAAGCCTGACACGGAGCGGGAATAACAGCTCAAGAAGGAGGCCAAGTAGTACGGTGCGCCGTGAGGACGAGCCTGCCTCAGGAAATAATGGCTGTACGATGTTAGTCGTTGCAGGACTACTGAACAACATGACACTACCGGTATGGATCCCTGACTAACACCGCCACGCCCTTCGCTTGATCTGGGGCTTTGGTGGGAAGAGATAGGATGTGGTTGCTGCGGCTCACTGCCTGCTCCTGCGACACACAGGTTTTCTTTTTCAAAAAACGATGAGGAAATTATCAATACAGCACTGACTGTGCTTAGAACATGATTGACTTATACCCTTTTAGCCCAAATGTCATACCCTTTACAGTTGCCATCATAGGATCCTATACAGTAACCCTCATGATATCTCTCATGCCTCATAGTACTCTGAAGCCTTTCGTCGTAAACAAAGCAGCCGCCAGCCGAGACGTGCAGGACCCACCAGAGAAGAAGCGACCCAGGTGCAACGCACAGCACGCCGTTACCTCGTCTAGAGTTCGCTTGAGAAATACATACCTGTAAAGGTAACCAACTTATGTGTGTGTATATATATATATATATCATATGTATATGTATGTATATATATATATATATATATGTTCATGGAGAAAGTCTTGGGGCTTGTATGAGAGATTGAATACGGCTGCTGCCGGGGTTGTGAGTTCCCGTGGGTCCCTCGCGGAAGCTTGTTCGCCTCTGTGCTTTCATGCGACCGTGTCTAGACAGAGGGTCCCAGTCACTAGGGCTTAGGGTTTACAGTAGACCCCATAAAGTTGGAAACCGGGTTGAGGCCAAATTGTGCCGGGATTCCCTCTACACTACTCTTAAGGATTGAGGCTATGGGGTTTCTAACTTTTGGGATTGTAGGCGTTTCGGGATTTAGGGCTAAGGCGCAAACCCAGGGCTAGGCTGTACTAGCCTGGAGCCAAGGGAAGGTGCTTACTTGGGTTGTATTCGCCGGCTCAGAACCAAGTAAGCCCAAAGCTGCAGCTTTGAGTATGCTACGACGAAAGATAACTGACATGATCTTTCAGTGGTATCCAGCGACTGCTGCGGGGGCCCCCCCCGCACAAAGCCGGACGCAACATTATCAGAAAGAACCCATGCCCTCTATTATAGGGGCCTTAATAATTAGAATGGGTTTTTGGGAATTTCTTATTATACTTATAGTAGAATAAACGCCAAGAGCCTATGCATTAAGTATGAAGGCCCCCCAAAAGTAGACCCTGCTCCGACATCTCAGCTGAGGGGCTAGGCTCCAGGACAGCAGCACGCCCAGTACCGACCCGAAGAAGTAGGAGACAGCGAACCTATAGTGAACTTGGGGCTTAAGGGTTTAGAGCTTAGAGCTTAGGGCTTTGGGGGTTTAGGAACAAACCTATAGTTGGAGGATCATGGGACTTAGTAAGTAAGGTTATAAGTAGTTATAAGTATTAGTTACCCTAATTATAACCCTAGTTACTAAGTACTTTGGGTACTGCTCCCACCCAGGAATAGTTGGAGAATATTCACAATATAGACAAATTAGGACCTTGCTAGTAGCACTATTATAGACTGCTACTGTATGTGGGGCAGTACCCAACCTATACCGAACTTGGGCGCTTAGCAAACATTGTAATTTTAGCTATTTCTTCGGGACTAAAGGAAGCAAAGTTAAGAAGAATATATAAGTTTCCCTAGGAACTCCAAGGGCAAGGGTGATTGAATGATCCCGACGAACACGTCCATGCCCAGCGCAACGAAAGGAAAGATGACGATGAGTTCGTAGGCGATTGGCAGCTGGGTATCCGCCTCGAGGCTTTCGCATTGGTGTTTGGTTGTATACGCCGAAAAATGCCACGGCATACCATAGTTTACTATGCGTCTGGGCATCCACCTTGAGAATGTGCCTACATGAGCGCAACATCTGCATGTTGTTTATGCAATGTACTTATGTACGGCAACTTCCAGAAGCGAAGTGTAGGTAGGACGATAAGTCCCCTAATATGAGTTGTAAGTATAGTTACCCTACTTATACTAACCCCCACTTACAACTACCCATGAACCTCCAAGTAGATGCTTGAAGGATTTGGGACGAATCATGCCCCAAATGCCAGTACCCTGTTTGTCTTGAGCCTCAAGCCTTCGAGCCTAATATTGGACTAGGGCTTTGCGGTGTATGATACTATATTCATAAAGGGTTTTGGGGTAAATGATACTATATTTTGAATAGGGAAGCTCCACAACAGTATTGGTAATATTTCCGGCCCTATGATAGCAGACCAAGGGCAAAGTCGTTGCCTGGCGGCTGATTGGAAGCAGGGGAGCCCATCTCTGACATATCTCGCCAAAGTTCGAGTTCCACCTCCCTCCTTTGATAAACTCTATATTCACTCATCGAAACCAGCAGTACAATGCAGAATGCAAACAAGGAATATCAACACATGTCGACCATCATCATTATGACTACGCACAGTAGCAATGATAGCTGGGGAGCAAGACGACGCACTTCTTAATCCAGCAAAGAAACATGATCACCTACAGACACCGCTGTGCCGCCGAGGAGTTGCTACGCGTCAACCCGTAAACCCTAAACCCCAAACCTAGGGTCCCCCAAAAGCACATGAGCAAAAGTTAGGATAGGGACACCCCATATAAATCCCATTGTAATGAAGCCCAGTAAGGTCGGGATATCCCTATAAAATGCTTATGCTTTTGTGCGTTTTGGGTCCCTAAAACCAGGTGCCTGGGTCGCCAGAAGTTCCGCTCGAAGAGGGCCCCGCACAAAGGCTTCGAAGGCTCCGTGGCTCCCATACCAGTCTGGAGGTGGGAGGGATTAGAATTACCTATACTCTTCCTTTAAGGGGTTCCTTTAAAGGGGTATATAAGGGCTACTACAAGGGCTATTATAAGGATATAGTGCAACGGCCTTAATCATTGGAATAGGGTCTTGGCGTTCCTGGCTATAGTTATATAGTACGGTAAACCCCCCAACCCTATTCCAATTAAGGCCCCCCCATAGTAGGGATGTTTGAGGGTTGAGGCTTTGGGGCTAGGAACTTCGGGCTTTGGGGCTTTATTTTGTTTCTTCCTTCTAGGCTTGGGCTCTTGGCTTTGGGAGTATTACGGGCTTTTGGGCTGTAGAGCTTAGGGAAGTAGAACAAGACTGGAAAACCTAGGCCAGCAAATCTAAAGCTTCAGCCAAGCAGCGCTCAATAGCGCCGTGGATATACTGTCGGTCAAAGTCCTCCCGGCACTCCACAGCATCCAGCGTGAAACCGGACATCTCCGTGATGAGCTCGCGCTTCGTTCTCATCGCATATCGGAGTCCGTGCATGCAGAAGTAGGCAGGGACAAACCAGCACCAAAGCAACAACTCCAGTGAAGCGAATCTTGTTGGAAAGCACACTAAGCAGCACAATGCCATGGGCTCCCAAGCAACAACCGGCAGCACCATTTTCCACAAAGAGCTGTGCCAGGGTGATCTTGCCGCCCGGATTCGCCGTTCTATAGGCGGCCAATTCGAAAACACACCAAAGCCTCGACGCAGCATTTTCCATTATACTAATTGGGTTTTAGAAATTAGGATAGGGTTTTGGGTCTCACTATACTATACCTATATAAAGGAACCACCAAGAATAGTCAAGGCTCCGATAATAGATGTCTACGGACAGTAACGTGATCTTATTCGGTGTTCCGACCCCGACAGTACTGTACTGTAGTAGCGTGTGGATCGTTAAAGGTTCTCTGCTGGGGCCCTCTGCCGCTCTTGAGCTTCACGACAAAGACCTAGATGGGAGTTTCCGAAAACTGGGGATACCTTATTTGGGGTCCTTATAGTAAGGATCCTACTATTTAAGGTAGTATATTAGGGTCCAGTATTTTCGGAAACTCCCAGATCAAAAGATGTGCCTTGAGGCTCCAATCAAGCTCGAAAGCTACTAAGCCGTCAGCCGTCGACTACGTAAAGGATCATGGGACTTAGTAACTAGGGTTATAATTAGGGTAACTATACTTTGAACTACTTATAACCCCAATAAAGGTACTTATAACCTTACTTACTAAGTCCCATGATCCTTTAAGCAGGCTTTATCCTCCAAGGAAGCTTCTTACTGCGTTTCGAGGCAGTGTCAGATTCACTTCCGGGAGGGATGCGCAGACTGAGGCTTGACATGATGTAGAGTGCAAAAAGGGTCCCTAAACCTTAAATCCTAAACCGCGCTAGTTGTCGTAAACCCCAAAGGAACCATGGCATGGTGATGATCCTGAACACTAAGCTACAGCAACAGCACTACTTAAGAAAACATTGGATTAAGAAGATGAGACTCCGGATTTTGCGATTGATAGGGTTCTACATAAAATACCAAGCACTGTTAAAATAAGAAAACCAGGGTACCATCGTCCGCAAGTCTCATTTTCTTATTGTGCTGTATGAGGGGTTCCATACATCAGGGGCTCCTGCCTAACATCCTAGCCCTAGTACTTGGGGTGTCCTAGGCACTTCGTGCCTTGACCCTGCTGAAGTTTCCCCTCCAAGGCTTCCAAGCACGGCTTTCCGGGATCGTAGGCATCGTGGTCTTTAGCTGGGTTCTGGAACGAAGGAGAATAAGAACATGCCAGAGTCTCGTTGTCTTATTTAGGTGGATTCTGGAACGAAGGAGAATAAGAAAATGCCAGAGTCTCGTTTTCTTATTTAGGTGGGTTCTGGAACGAAGGAGAATAAGAAAATGCAAGAGTCTCGTTTTCTTATTTTGGTGGGTTCTGGAACGAAGGAGAATAAGAAAATGCCAGAGTCTCGTTGTCTTATTTAGGTGGATTCTGGAACGAAGGAGAATAAGAAAATGCCAGAGTCTCGTTGTCTTATTTAGGTGGATTCTGGAACGAAGGAGAATAAGAAAATGCAAGAGTCTCGTTTTCTTATTTTGGTGGGTTCTGGAACGAAGGAGAATAAGAAAATGCCAGAGTCTCGTTTTCTTATTTTGGTGGGTTCTGGAACGAAGGAGAATAAGAACATGCCAGAGTCTCGTTTTCTTATTTACGTGGGTTCTGGAACGAAGGAGAATAAGAACATGCCAGAGTCTCGTATTCTTATTTAGGTGGGTTCTGGAACGAAGGAGAATAAGAAAATACAAGAGTCTTGTTTTCTTATTTTAGTGGGTTCTGGAATGGGCCCTGGACACAGCTATATAAGAAAACGGTCTTAAGAAAACCAGACTACACTGACCCATCCCCGATTAAATATTCCCATAAAACCAGCCGCTATCAAAATAAGAAAACCAGACCACCCTCGTCCCAGAAAGTATTTTCTTAAACAGCGCTCCCGCTGTACCCGTGGTCAGAGCCTAAACTGACCATGTTAACTATCCTAAGCAACCAGCCAAGGGCATACTACAGACTACATGCAGCAAGCAGCAGCAGACCGGAGCCATAGCATCCAACAGCCCAAACCGCGAACCCTAAAACCTGAACCCTGCTTGGAGGTTCATGGGAGTTAGTAAGTAAGGTTATAAGTACCTTAATTGTGGTTATAAGGAGTTATAAGTATAGTTACCTTAATTATAGCCCTAGTTACTAAGTCCCATGATCCTTTAAGTGAACACTGAGACTCGGACCTAGAGAGGTAAGGGCTGCTCCAGAGGATCAGGAGCCTGTCCTAGGATTTGCCGTCGACGAGCAAACAAGAGATCGATTGGGGCTTAGGGTTGAGGGAGAAAGGGGTTTCAGAGGGGTTTAGGGTTCGGGGCTTGGGTAAATTACTCTAGAGCAACCCCAAAATTGGGGCTTAGAGTTGAGGGTGTAGGGCCGAGTTGGGGGTTTCGAGGGTTGAGGGTTCAGGGGATACTTGTTCTACATCAACGCCAAAATCGAAATGAACAACTAGCAAGTGAGTCGTAAACTGAATGGATGAGCTGTATTGAAGATGAAGAACCAGGGCACTTCTCTAAACCCTAAATCGCTGGTTCTGCGAGTGTCCGAGGCCGCCAGAAAGCCTCCAAGCCCGTAAATGCCACGCTGCATGGTTTCCGCATCCACTTGGTTGATGCCTCGGCGCATTTTATGTTTCTAGCTATATTGGGACTATAGGAGGATGATACCACAACTCGAAGTCAGCAACTTGGTCGGAGGTGGCCGTATAAGCAGCACTCTGTTCCTTCAGGACCTGAAATACAGAAAGAACATAAACCCTAAACATTAAATGGGAGTTTCCGAAAATAGGGAAAAATATAGTACCCTAAATAGTAGGATCCGTATTATAAGGCCCCCAGAATAAGGTACCCCCAATTTTCGGAAACTCCCAAATCCTAGTCGGCCATCAGGGCATAGAGTCTCTGCCGCACGACATCCCTTCTGAAGTTCTGAGGGGGCCCGGGCCCCCCAAAACACCCCCCCTGTTTACAACACATCGCGTCATGCATGCGCCTGAAGAGTTAGAAGCACCCTTCAAATTTCCTTCACTAGTGGCATCTAGCAAGCTACTGAGACCAGTTGATTGCGCTTGCTAATCTGAGAATGTAGCATTATGGTTCCCGTTCTAATTTCGACTGGAAGAAGGTTTCCCCAGGCATTCTTCATTCTGGTGCATTTCCTGCTCGCGATGCATCGACAGGTTCAGACTTCGATCGCTCAGCGACCCTGCTTTGTGGGTGCCTTTGCGTGCTGTCTCGCGGTGAAGAACGCCGAAGGCTACAGAAGCTGCAGTTGAGTGGGCACTGGCAGTTGATGGGTGGAAGCTCTTGAGGGGGACAATTGAGAGAAGAGTGCTGAAATTGGGAGTTTCCGAAAATAGGGGACCCTAATACCCTCAACAGTAGGATCCCCATTATAAGGACCCCAGAATAAGGTACCCCTAATTTCCGGAAGCCCCCGATTATGATTTCAGTCTTAACAGTCGGCCGGGCGGCTCGTAACGTCCAGGAAGCATTTCGGAGTTCTGCCGCATGCGTCCGGAAGGTACCTAGTTCATGGTTCGGAAAGGGTTAACACTTTACATTGTTTCTTAATGAGTTGAAGTACCCTTAAACATGTAAAATGTTACCCAACTATGACAAAGGTACGGCCACAAGAGGAAGACGAGGAGTGATGATAGCAGGCTCCCAAGAGAACCCCAGCCTCCGAAGGGGACGTCGAAGACCTTGTCGCCTGGAATCTGAACCTGTCAGGTCGCATGCTGCAAAGCATTAGACTCGCCATTCCAAATCGCGTTGCACCGCTGTCGCTATGCCTGTGCACGTCGCGAAGAGCTACATCGCGCCTGGTATGTGAGTGGCAGCGGGAGAATCTCCAGCAAGGAGAGGATTTCTGGGAGCAAGATGCAGGCAAGGGAGCAGGCAACAAAGAAAGGCCAGCCGAAGCGAAGTGTCAGAGCCACCACCTTCCAGCGTCCATGGGTGCGCCAGCTGTGCGACAGGAAGGTATCGAAGGACTCCACTTGCTCGGACAAAGCCCAAAGCGCTGAGCGCTCCTTCATGGGAAGATCGGCAGGACAGAAGCGCCACACGTGGCCCAAGCCTCTTAGAGCCGCCTTGAGCGCGATGCCCCTCATAATCTCGCGGTCCACACTGAGGGCCTTCTTCACCATAACACTGCAGCGCCTCTGGCTGAGGGTCCGTACTCGGCCAACGGAATCTTCGGATCCTTGGGAGTCCTCGTCTTCGTCTATACTGGAGTGAGACGGCTGCAAGTCTAAGTCCACGCTCTCGGGAAGGACAGGGTCAATCTCTGAGACTTCTTCCGAAGAGCAGCATACGCATGTCGTGCCCAGGAGCTTTGGAGATGCGGACGCCATGGAAAACCCCCGGAATTCCCGATGTCCCACTGCCGTGCCTCCTAGTATGAGCCGCGTATGCAGATGCCACCAGGATCGAAGCCTTGAAGCCTCTAAGCCCGGAGTAGACCAAGAGGCCTTACAGGAGACCGTGCCGAAGGTCGACCTGCGTTCCGTTTTGTCTTGAATTGCACTCCCCTGCGCGGACCGCACACGGCATGCTCTCAAAACCAAACCTTGAAGTAAACCCCGACACCTGCAGATGGTGCACAGAGTGGCATGTCCGTAAGATGTTTTTTGCGCCGCTGTGATGCTGGAGGTAACTTTGTCCGTGAGACGACAGAACTACCGAAGTCGAGCAGCGGGAATCGAAACACCAATGCAGAGATCATAGTCCTGCCTTACAGCCGCGCTCGTCATGGTAACTGTAGTATTCGTCGTAGCTCTCACGCGGCTGTGGTCAATGATGCACCGCTCTTGCGAAACAGTCCCGTGCATGGTACCTGCTACTTCGGACTTCACCGATCTGCTGAGATTTGCAGCTTCAGCCGGTGTTCTTCCTGAGAGCGGCGTGGCAGGGCGATTCGGGCTCAGAGCCTGAAGGCTTTGGTTTGGGGTTTGGGGGTTTACGGGGTTTAGGGTTTAGGGGTTTAGGGTTTGGGGTTTAGGTTTACTTTTTTATCATAGACCCCCAAACCCTGTTCTAATTAGAAAGGCCCCTTACATTATGAGCGCCTTTTCACGTCTGCAAAGAAGTCTGGGCATTCGGAAGCCTATTAAAGACAGGCAAGTTGGCCAAGCCTCGTATCAGCTAGACCGTAACCACCCACATCATCGGTCTATGGGGTTTAGAGTTTAGGCCTGCAGACAGAAGAGCGGAGTATGGCTAGTGGCGTTGTTGCAGCTCCTCCTGTCCAAGGTCCAGGGTTAAACGTCCCTAAAGTGTTTGGGCCAGGAGCTTCTAGACACTCTTGCCTACAGCATCTTGGGTTTTCTGTGCTGAGGGCGTGTAAACTTGAAGTCGAGGTTTAAGATGAAAGAGTTTGAGGTTCGCCGTGTCGAGTTTTGGAATTGCGAGTTGAGAGCAAAAGCTGGATAGAAGGGACAATATTTGGAGGGGGCTGTGGATGTGCTGCTGCACAGACATCCTTTGGAAGCATGTAGGACCTGTATTCGAAGGACCCCAAATCAGCCACCCCGGATTCAAACGCCCCCTTCGGAACCTCGGCAAGATCTCTGAAGCCAAACCCTGAAACCGTAAAAACCCCTAAATCCCAAAACCCAAAGCCCTAAACCTCTAAGACCTGCTGGGCCCTTCGCGTGCGGTGGGCCAAAGCTCTGGACCTGGGCGAATTTCAACTTCGTTGTACTTTATGGCTTTACTATACTGAACTTAGAACCCTAGCACAAAAATTGTAACTTTAGCTGTTTCTTAGGGATTAGAATAACCAAAAATTACAAATCATTTCTAAGTACCCCTAAGTTTAGGGGTTTAGGGCTTTAGGGGTTTAGGAACTCGTAGGGTGTCATGATTGTAGCTTTTACAACCCTTAACCGCATTTTTGAATAGATACCTCTGTAGGAACCATAAAGGGTAAATACAAAGGTTCGCAAATCAAGTGATTCTTGTAGATGGTAGATGGGTCCATGGGGAGAAGAGTCTGCTGGTGGGATCGACCCCATGCTTAGGACCTACTTGTGAGGGCAAGCAAAAGGAAATGAGAAGGGTGTGATTCTTTGAAAAATGCTGCTTTGGGTTCGGGGAGGAGTTTTCGGCCGGTTTCTGCTTCTTTTGAGGGCACGTTTTCCAACCTGCATGTATGCTTCAAGCCTAGTAGGGTTTCGGGCTTAGTGTGAAAACTTCGCTTCGAAGATCCTGTTGTTGTTGTTGTTGTTGTTGCCTTTCTTTACGCGCGGGCTTTACAGGTTCTATGGGGTATTATGCAGTCTTACAAAGGGCGGCTGGATCTTTGTAAAACGTAGGGTGGCTGGACGAAGGATCCCAGGATGTCATTCATTTGGGGGTCCCACGTCTGCGATTCTCGAGGCTTCACATGAAGGAACAGGGGACGTAGTAAGTAGGGCCATCAGTAAAGTAGCTTTAGCCATCAGACTTACTTTAACTGAATTTTGGGCACTGTTCACCTTACTTACCAAGTCCCTGATCTTTTTGAGTAGCAGCTCCCAAAACTCCAGCTTTTGAACTTCGGGTTTCGAAAATTTCGAGACCCAAGAAGGGTTTATACCACCCTAAACCCTAAACCCCTAAACCCCTAAATCCCTAAACCCCTAAACCCCTAACCCCTAAACCCCTAAACCCCTAACCCCTAAACCCCTAAACCCCTAAACCCCTAACCCCTAAACCCCTAAACCCCTAAACCCCTAAACCCCTAAACCCCTAAACCCCTAACCCCTAAACCCCTAAACCCCTAAACCCCTAAACCCCTAAACCCTAAACCCTAAACCCCTAACCCCTAAACCCCTAAACCCCTAAACCCCTAAATCCCTCAACCCCTAAACCCCTAAACCCCTTAAAGCTCCTTAGGGAGCCCCCCCCATTTTGAGCTTCCTTGTGAAGCCTTCGGGGGTTCCGCGTCTCGGGTCTGGGGCTCTCGGTCTGGGGCTCTGGAGGGGTCATCGGGTGCCCCCGACCCCAAGAGGGGAGTTTTATCATGAGAATCGGGTTTTGGGGTGCCCGCATATATGGGCCTTAGTAATGAGATTAGGGTTTTGGGCAAGTTTTAGGGTCCTGTATACTCTGCTTAGATGAAGCAACCCCAAAATAGTATTGGTAATCATTTAGACATGTAGGCCCCGATATCACCTTCGCTTGGGGACTCGTCAGCGAAAACGCTGAGGTGTTAAAGGTCCTCTGGATTTCGCATATTGTGAGTGGAGGACATGAAGGCATGGGGTGTCAGGTGAACACGGGCGAAGGCCCTACACAAAGGCAGCGGCTTGTAAATGGGAAGAGAGCGTCGGTTGTCTTTCTTCTTTTCGAGCGGTTTTCGCGGCTCTGCTTACACAACTCTTTTGCTGGCTTGTCTCGATGCCCTTGGGAAACGGCAATAACAGTAATCATATAACAGCAGGAAGCAGCAAGAGAAACGGTGGTGAGTTGAGCAGGAATCATTTGAAGGCGGACCCTGTTTAGGAGGAATGAGGTCCCCTTATCGGGTTGTGCCCTGGCTCTTACCGTTGCAATGCAAACTTTGAGTGCCGCCCGTCGTGTAGCGGATTCTCCACAACCCCAACGCCGAACATCAAATCAACCATCCAAAGCTCGACACCAAGGCTATAGCGAGAGTCGTAGCCTTCCAAGATACTTCCAACAGCCTTAGGTCATACTGTAGGAACCTGAATAATTAGAATAAGGTTTGGGGTCTTTTATACTATGACTCTTGTAAGGACCTTCAACAGCCCAGAAGATCTGCCGAGTGCAGGGGCTCCAGTGTCACACTCTCGAGGATCTCCCCACCTCGTGCTGTTCTTGATGGGGCGTCTGAGGCTTTAGGGTTTTCGAGGGGTTTAGGGTTTCTACTATTTGCTTAAGAACCCCCAAAAAATAAAAAATATATTCCTTATGGGGGTAATATAGGGATTATTATTTTTATTTTTTGGGGGTTTCTTAAGCAAATAGTAGGTTTTGTTGGGGTTTAGGGTTTTCTAGAAGTTTAGGGTTTTCCAGGGGGGTTTTTAGGGTTGTAGGGCTTAGGGTTTTAAGAGTTTAGGCTTTTGGGGCTTTAAGGCTTAGGGGTTTAGGGTTTAGATCTGGGATTTCGGAATGTGAAGGCTGCGAAAAAGCTCCGAAAGAGGCGCAGTTGAGACAGATTGGTGCGGCAAGGCTTTCGAAGAACCCTTCAAATGCAGCGCCCGTTCCGCAACCCTGTAGCTCAAACCCACAACCCCAATTCTAGGAGCTCAACAATCCTGGACCTAGCGGCCTGACCACTACCCCATTCCCTTACAAGCTAAGTAGCATGTTGTTGGAGATCTTTATAACAGAAGCCAGAACGTAGAAGTAACCAAGAACCTTTCGACTAATTCTATGACACAGCCTCAATCCTCCCTTGTCATGAGCTGTATAGACACTAGACTCGAAAGGTGCTCAAAACTAAATCAAAACTGGGGATGTGTATGATGTGCTTCAAGTCTGGACCCGCCAACTCTACTTTCTCAAAGCATCGGACCTCCAAGACCCAGCCGCCTGAATCCTAAACCCCCCATACTCACTACTAGGATGCGCAGTAACCTACGAATAAGAGGGCTCCCGTTTTGGTATTGGGCTGACCTTTACAAGCAACCTAGGACTACAAAAAGGGGATGAGGGTACTACTGGGCATCGTAGACTATACCCGAAAACCGAAAGCCCTAAACTCTCTAAATCCAAAGCCCCTCAAGCCCCTCAGAAAGCCCCAAACTCCAAAACCCCTAAAATACCCAAAACCGCTAAAAACCCTTAAAAGCCCCTAAATCCCAAGCCCCTCAGGAAGTCATCGGAGCTACTTCGGAGTAGGTATCGCTCCAGCGGCCCCAGGACATTCTCCTGCTCGGTCGGGGGTCGTTTGGGTTTTGGGGGGTTTTGGGGGGGGCTTAGAATCCTTTTAGTGGCTTTGGGTTTAGGGTTTTCAGTTTAGGGTTTAAGGTTTTGGGGGGCTTAGAATCCTTTTATTGGCTTTGGGTTTAGGGTTTTTTTGGCGTAAGGTTTTGGGGTTCAGGATTCAGGGTTGTGGGGTTCGCTGAATGAAATTATACAGCTCTTGGGTCAGGTTGGAGTTTCTGCGTATGGATGGACTCAACACTCTCGAAGAGGCCCAGATGGACTGAAACTCCGGCAGCAGCACCAAACCATGTACGCGGAACCTTATGTACTCCTACCCTTCAGCTAGGCTTACTTACTTTAAACTTCAGTAGGTGGGGAAATGCAGTGAATAACATGCATTCCTTGTTTTCGTAGCATGAAGTCTCTAAACAGCATCCTACCAAGCCCTAAAGGAACCTCACAAGGCCCTTAGACGACC